TGACCTCTGAGGGGCGGGCGCTGGACCCGGTGGCTCTGCCCACGTTGGTGTTAGGGGAGGTTCGGCCCTCAGCGGGGCTGTGGGGTATCCCACCACCGCACTACACACACACACACACACACACACACACACACTCCTGCCAGTGATGTTTATAGTTACCAGTCTGTTGTAGCTCAAGTCAATCTAATGGCCAGTTAGATTGAGCATGAGTGTGGAGCTGGGTTCTGTCGGTCGCGATCCAATGCTCCGAGGCTTTGCAGGACTGAACCCAGAGTTCCATGGCAAAACACCCCAGCTTTATAGTTGTAAATTCTCATTTGAGTCCATGCATTTTGCAATGTTATCCTGTAATCATTAGTCCTTAAGTGATGTTATTATTTGATGATTATTGTCCGGCTTCCCATCGTTAACTCCTATTTGTTGTCATACAATGGATGTTTTCTGATTGTCTCCTGGTCTTTTCAAGTCTCTTACTTCTTCTTGACCATCTGGAGATTTGTGATGGCTTTCACACCTTATCTTTTCCTGATGCATGCATTCCTCATTCACACAAACAATCTCTTACAGAAACCTTCAAAGGTATACAGACAGCAGTATTGTATATTCAGCAGAATACATTGTAAATCAAGCCTTGCTAAATCTTATAACTAAAACAATTCACATTGGGGCTTCAGGCTCTCAACATTCCTCTAATCTTCTTAACATAAATACAATAGAGAATCCTGTCTCTTACTTCCTAATTTGTAATACATATAGGAAACCATAGTAGCTTTATAACTTATTCTAAAACAAAAGGGTGACCATAATCAATCATAAGGATTGTTCTGGTCTGTCATTCCTTTCTGCTATTCAAAAAGGGTGGCTGACAGGATGAAATCAAATCATACATTAATTCTCATAGTACATTATAAAATCCAGCTCCTACACCAATGGGATTTGGATCAGGTCCCTGAACAGAAGCAGTATGCACTTCTGATTAGTTCTTCAGTCAGCTGCAAGTATGTACAATGCTCTGAAAATGTAAGCTCTATATAAATGTGAAGTATCACATTATTTATTTCTTGGCTGAGGGGATAGAAATATCCCCCTAAACTATAGATTCTTTTGGGATGTGGGCCACATTAACCTGCCTTTTCCCTTGTGCTCTCTTGAGTGCTATGGTGAGATTCTGCCATCTATTGCACAGGGAGTAGAGGCTCCCTCCTCCACTTCCTCTTGTGTGCCAGTGAAGTAAAGGGTAGGATTTGGCCCCATATCAGAGTTCTGAGATGGAACCTATGAATTTACAAAAAAATTTGGAAGATTTAAAGGGAGTCATTATTCAATCTATACTGAAATTGCTCAGAGTGATCATATGTCTAAGTGCTGATAAGGGAATCCAATATGACAGGAGCTATGAAAATATGAAATGACTATATAAAATTCACCATATACATTGATTACAAAAATTGATTTCAAATTGAGAGACTGACAAGTAACTCTAACCTTAATAAATAATTTTATTCAAGTTTGCATGTTATATGCTGTCCAGTAAAGCAAATGAAGATAGAATTCTCTATCCCATCGACTTAAAAGAGGAGTTTACCTGAGTAAAGACTGAATAGGATTTGGCCCTAGATTTGCACTGCTGTGCAAAAATTCCTGAAATACACATGCAGCATACAGGGCTGGCTCCAGGCACCAGGCAACCAAGCACATGCTTGGGGCGGCACCTGGTAAGGGGTGGCCAATCTTGGGGTGGCGGGGGGAAGCGC